AAAACTGACAAAAATTTTGTCAAAACTAAAGATTCTGAAACTGAATGAAAAATTTCAACTAGAACCTAATGACTCATCAGACTCAGACAGTGTCAACTCCAGTATGTATCTTTACTCAGATAGAAAATAATAAAAATTAGGAAACAACTCAAAATCATTATCGTGAAAAACCAAAAGAACCAGAAGTAGAAGTAAGAAAAGTCAACAATTATCTCCTACCAATAAAAATCTAAATCTTCTAAAGCTAATCATCATTCCCTGCTTAAAGATTTCAGGTATAGATAGAATTCACTTTAGACTGTAGACTTTCACAAAAGAACATCACTCCCAATCTAAAAATGAGAAAAACTAGTTTGTTTTGAAGCCCATCTAAGGGCTCAGGTGGCAAACCAAACAGATGAACTGAATTTCAAAGTGTGACAAGCCTCTAGGAGGAGGACACACACAAACTGTTCCGTTGTTGGCAAGGCATGAGGGGGAGAGGTGGCAACCATGTAAAGAATTAAGAAGAAAGCAAGTGAAATTGTAATGAATTCTTAAAGATCTCAGGTAGACATTGCAAGACTTGCTTTGGTGATCAGAAAATCCTTAGACTTTCTCCTAATAACAAAATAATTTTATAAAAGAAGAAAAGAATAGCTAACATTTAGTGTGATTTACTAAATACTGTGCTACCACTTAACATGCTTTATCATATTAAAGAGAAGACTGTTAGTATCTTTGTTTAATAAAGGAGAAAACCAGGCACAAACAGGATAAGAAATTTATCCAAGTTCCCATAGCTAGCAGTAAGCGGCAAAGCTGGGATTCAAACTGAGGCATCATAAATAGTCTGGCTCACAATTAGAAAACTACATAGTCTCTTCTCCAGTCCAGACATACTTTCTTAATGCGGTTTAAATAGTTTAAAGAAATTTCTTCTGTTCAGTCTCCAGAGTGAACAAATTAGAAATTCCCCTATTGATTATTCCTTTAGATATATCAAGATATAGTTCATAGAATGCTAAGAAAGTCATGTTCAACATAGAATTAGCTAAGTCTTTTTACCTTGGAGTAATACTGCCGTTAGCTGACTTAAGGGTAATATGCGATTCTAATCTGCACGGGAAAAGTAGAAAATATACAGCAAATTAGAATTGGGGCAAGAACCTCTCCCCCATCTGTCCATCACAGACAACATTAAACTGCAGAGAATGAAAGATTCATTTTAGAATTAATCAAGGGAAAAGGATTCTTTTTCAGATTTTATTCGCAGATACAAACTTCTTGCCACATAATTGTTCTCAGGCTTTCGTCCCCCCGAGATAAGAAACATGAGAAAAAAACTTAAGAATTTTACAATTTACTTCATAATATGAAGGAACTAGGAGCCCTGGTGGCACAGTGGCTAAAGCACTTGGCTGCTAACCAAAAGGTCAGTGGCTCAAACCCACCGGCTGCTCCATGGGAGAAAGAAGGGGCAGTCTACTTCTGTGGAGACAACCTTGGAAATCTTATGGGGCAGTTCTACCGTGTCCTATAGGGTCACTATGAGTTGGAATCAGCTCGACGGCACTGGGTTTGGTGGGTATGAAGGAACTAAGGAAAAAGTTCATCACCATTCTTATTAAATAGAATCTCCTTTGTCATATTCAGTTTTCAAAAACAGCATTTACATATATATATATATGACTATAAGCTTCCAGTCATCTGTTAGTTTGTAGTACTGTGGTGGCTTGCGCGTTGCTGTGATGTTGGAGGAAGCTATTCCACGGGTATATGAAATACCAACAGAGGGTCCGTGAAAATGAGGAAGACCCTCAATGAGATGGATTGACAAAAATAGGATCAAATCTAGCAACAATTGTGAGGATGGCGCAGGACCGGGAAGTATTTCGTTCTGTTGTACATAGGGTCACTATGAGTAGGAACCAACTCAATGGCACCTAACAACGATTATAACCTATATATACATATATATACATACATGCATATATATAATAAATAGCTTATAGTCATTCATGCTTTCCAGTCCTTTTTGGTCCCTCCTGTAGTTTTACCTCTACATAAATGATACCACTCTTGCCCCTTCTGAGCATCTCTCATTGATAAACACTTCCCCAATTTACAGTCACTTTGTATTCTATCAGAAGCTTCCAAAGAGTACTAGAAATTACACACTCTAAAGTCATTTGCAGACATTAAAAAAAAGTTGTAATTCGTTTGTCCTGGATACTAATATAGGGACTTTAGTTCTGGAAATATGGTGCACCCTCTCTTACTAAAGTGGGAAATGGGATGTGCTGAGTAAGATTAAACTAACGAAATTAATCACGAAAATAAAATACTCCACATCAGTAGCAATCACGATGCAATTCTTTAAGAGAACAGATAACAAGATGTCTGTAGGTAGCTAGTAACTATGAGCCTTCAATGGACAGTATCATATGTATCTATTTAAACTTTTATTTACAGCCATGACTGGAAGGAATGAGGGAAAAAAAAAGTACTTCCATATTAGCAAGCTGAAGTATTTCTGTTACCAGGGCAAACACTGTTAGTGAAATATCTATTCCAATATTAGAGGGCTTTGACCTTCAGTTGAAGACTTGGCAATTACTAGCTACCTACCAATTAATAGACCTCATGTGCATTAATTTAGATATTGCAAATATTCTAAGAACTAGAAATGTTCCCTAAACAGGAGACAGAAGAAGGATATTTCTTATCCTTAAATTTAGAAATCTTCCCATCTCTCAGACCTTCTTATCTATGAGATTTATATCTAAAGTGGCCTATCCCAATTACTTTATATCTCAAAACTTTGTTAATGCTTGCTATGCATTGTGTCCCCCCCAAATATGTGCTGGAATCCTAACCCCTATACCTGTGGATATTATGTAAGTACTGCAATCACTTTCATATGCAATCTGTTATGTTACTGAGCCATACCCATTAGGGTGTGTCCTAAACCTAATCAAAGTCATAAAAAAGGTAGACAGACAGAGAAATGCAAAAACAAATGGGAAGATAGATGCCATGTGAAGATGGTCAAGGGACCAAGGAATGCTGGGGCTACAGAAACTAAGACAAGGATCTTCCCCTAGAGCCAACGAAGGACAAAGAGAGAGCCTTCCCTTATAGTTGGTGCCTGAATTCAGACTTCTAGCCTCCAGAATTGTGAGAAAATAAATATCTGTTCTTTAAAGCCATCCACTTGCGGTATTTCTGTTATAGCAGCCCTAGTAACTGAGTCAGTGCTCACCATGGCATTTTAAATTTTTTGTTTATTCTTTCTCCCAACAAGGTTACAAGTTCCCTCTGTCTTGTTCAATTTCCTGGAGACTATAACTTTTTTTTGTTAAAAATATTTTCTCTAATGAGTTGCAATCTTAAGGGAAAGGATGTATGTCTCAAATGAAGGCAGCTGCTTTCTCCTCAGCCAAAGTAACAGAGAGGTAACTATATGCAAACAATCAGGAATATTGCATTTAAAAATATTTCCCATCTAACATAGCATTAGTTTAATGAACTGTGCACACTAAGCCTAGTATTTTTCACCTAGTGTTGATCAAAATCAATTTGTGAACAGATCTCTTCTTTATAGGAATCTCACCTACTTTCAAGAACACAAAGATTCATGAATTCCTTCCTGTCAAGAAGTGGTTACTTTCCAAGCTAAGGACTAAGCTTGAAACAAGCACATATTGGGCAAGGGTGGTTTAATTCCAGTATAAAGCGTATCATTTTTTTCAAAGAAGTATGAAGGTATGTCATACAGCATCAACCCACTGTCATCGAGTGGATTCTGACTCATAGCAACCCTACAGGACAGAGCAGAACAGCCCCAAAGGGTTTCCAAGGCTGTAATCTTTACGGGAGGAGACTGCCACTCTTTCTCCCCCACTGAACTAGTATTTTTGGGATGAAGCTGGCCTGCCTAATTCTGAACTTTATAAATCCTCTATTTTTATTAGGGTTGGAATTCATCCCCCTTCCCTCTTCCACTGTCTTCCCGGGGCCATCGTTGTAGTAGTTTGAAATGCACAATGGATTTCGCATGGTCATCCTACCTGGAAAATGGCACGCTCCCTACTCTAACGCCCCCAAACTGTTCCCTGCAGAGATAGCTAAAGCAGCTCTAGGCGGCGACGCAACTGGACGCAGCCGGTTGGCCGAGAGCAACTGAATGGCTTTGCTGGTGGCCCAAGGGCTAAGCCCAGATAAAGCCTTTTTGCAGTTTAGTCCCATGCTAGCATTTAGGTGATTTGTCAAGGCTGCAAGGGGACGCGCAGCCTTCCCACAGCACACAGGAACCACCGTGGTCTCCTGCTCCCCTAAAATTCAATCATCCTCTCTCATTCTAACTGCGCCGTACTTTACAAAACGCATCCACAAGCGTTATCTGATTCGATCCTCACTCCACGCCTGTGAGATGAGCGTCGTTGTCGTAGTGCCTATCTCACAGGTACGGAAGGATCCTGTCCACAGACCCAGTCTAATTCAAAAATTATTTTCAGAAGGGCCCAAGGGCCGCCTCTCCCCGGTGCAGGAAAAAGCTTCCTGGCAGAGGGCAGAACAGGTGTGACGCCCACCTGGGTGGCGGGCCGAGCTACTGGCTCCATGCAGCGGTCTGGGACACGGGCCCCACGGCAGCGGCTGCTCGAGATCTCCGGGGTTCCTTCCGTGTCCGCCTCTGCTCGGCCCCAGACCTCAGACCCCAGAGTGTCTCATGCCCTCCCTCAGGCTCACCGTCCGATCTCGCCAGACAGCATCTGGACGGCACCAAGAAACTCCGCGTCCACCACAGGCGTCCAGGTTCTGGGACTCCCGCTCTGAAATTACCGCGGTGGCGGTCAGCAGCAGGCCTGCGAGCTGCCGGGAAAGGAAAGCCTGTCCCAGTCAAGAGCTGACATTCCCAGTCAGCCGGAGGACCGCCCGTTTCCGCTTCTCCGGCCGCCCCTGTAGGCCGTCATGCCCCGCAGCCGCTGGGGGTTGTGGGTATCTCAGAGCCCGGCGAGGCTTCAAGAGAAGGATTCAGGAAGTAGGGGGCGAGCCAGCCTGACTACGATACAGCGTAGAAACTACAATTCCCAGCTGGCAGCTGGGCCGCAAACCTCCGCCGCACAGGAAAGCGGGCAGAAGACTCCTGTGCGCGCGGTGGGGATGGAACGTTACTAGAGTTCGCGGGTCTAGCTACTGGGGGCCGGCGCTGAGCGGTCGGAGCTGCAGCGCGCCAAAGCCGGAATCCGAAGCAGCAGCTCCGCAATTAATGCACGTATTTAAAACTCCTGAATCGGTAGACGCCATGCACAGGTAAACCGATTGCAAAAAGAGACAGCATGAATGGACCGTCTTAATTCTTTTAGGCCGTGAATACTGCTACTTGCTGTTATTGTCACTAATGCTATTATTATGTGAATGGTTGCTTAGCCCTTTCTTTGGAAGTGTGGATAGATGCTTTAGTGAGGTGATCAGTGTGCCGTTTTATTTGGCTTCCCTTATAGGGCTTTCCTGCTAGGGTTTTCAATCACTGGATGGTTGCCGTCCCTCCCTCCTTGTTCCCTCCACTGTAAGAAATTCTTGAGGCCTGCCTGCATGATCGTAAATCAAAAGCCTTTCCCATTAGTTCGGTTATTTTCTCCTTCTTTCTTGCGATTTCGCTGCTAGCACTTACAAATGCAATTGTATTAGCTGCTGCGAAAGTTTTAAGTTTTCTACAGTGCATAAACTGCAGCTTCTTTTATGCCTACCTTGGCATTATTTAGGAGTCCTGGTGACTTAAGTGGTTAAGCGCTCGGCTGCTAACCAAAAGGTTTGCATTTCGAACGCAACAGCCGCTTTTCGGGAGAACGATGTGGCAGCTGCTTCCCTAAAGATTTACAGCCTTGCGAACTCTGTGGGGCAGTTCTACTCTGTCCTGTAGGGTCGCTGTGAATCGGAATTTGACTCGACGGCGATGGGTTTGGTTTTGGGTTTTGGCATTATTTAGGGGTGGGTTCTTGAAGGGAACCGGGGTATTGTGCATTTCTGCAGGAAACACCTCCAGGAGATTCCGGACCAAAGTAGCAACGTTACCACCAGCTTCACGTGGGGATGGGATTCTAGCAAGACTTCTGAACTGCTCTCAGGCATGGGGGTCTCCGCCCTAGAGAAGGAGGAGGTGGACAGTGAAAATATCCCCCAGGAACTGCTTTCCAGCCTGAGTCACCCTCAGAGCCCCCCACGAAAACGGCTGAAGAGCAAGGGGAATGACAAGGACTTTGTGATTGTTCGTAGACCCAAGCTAAATCGAGAGAACTTTCCAGGTAAGGTATGCAGGTAAAACTGACACTCACATAAGGGGTGGGTGGGTTGAACTGTTCTGTCCATAAACCTTGGTTCAGGGATCTTTAGGATGGTTTCCTATTTTAAGTTGCCTAATTCTGAAGTTGGATTGACACAGTGGCTGCAACAGTGGGCTCAAACATAGCAACTATTGCGAGGATGCTGCAGGACCGGTCAGCGTTTTGTTTTGTTGTACACAGGGTCGGTATGGGTCAGAACTGACTCCACGGTACCTAACAATAATTCTGAAGTTATTTTCTGAAGGACTGGAGGAAGTAATTGTCTTTGAAGTCTACTGGTATCTTTGTGGGTATATCTGTCTTCTGGTGTATAATTGACTTGAAAATTGTAATCCATGACAATACATTTCTGCCCTTTTCCTTAGAAGGGAATCTGCCTGCAGAAAGGCATGGAGTAGCCAGCCAGCTTAGTGTCACTAATAAATGGCAGCATAAACAATAATCTTCTTTTTTAGGATTCCTTTTCCGTAAAGCCTTGGGTGGGCTTTTTGCCGTAATCACTTTAGGTATTTGTCAATAAGTTGCTAAAGTATTTGAATATTAAACTAAGTGGAGGAGGCTTATCTCTCAGGCCCACTCCCAAATATCTCAGTTGCTGCCAGCACTATCTGCTCAGTCACCCAAGCCAAAAACCTGAGAGTCAGTCTAGAGTCCCACCATCCCCCAATATCCAATCAATCATTGCATCTTCCATTCTTGTTTCCTAAATATTTCTCAAGCTGTCATCGTCTCTTGCCTGACTATTAGAATACATGTATAACTCCAGCCTTATCTTCTTCAGATTCATCCCCCAGAGCCATAGTGGCTTAACTGAAATGCCATTGTTAAGTGCCATCAAGTAGAGTTTCATCTCACAGACCCCACCCCGTGTGACAGAGTAGAATTCCCCCTGTAGGGTTTCCTAGGCTGTAATCTTTACAGGAGCAGATTGCCAGGTCTTTCTCCCATGGGGCCACTGGGTAGGTTCGAACTGCCAACTTTTTGTTTAGCAGCCAATCACTTAACCATTGCACCACAGCTCACCATATCATTCCCATTTTAATAGTTCTCCATTCCCTGTGTACCAGGCTTCCCAAGTGGGTGAGTGAGTGCTTCCAGGAATGAATCAGTCCCCAGGGAGTATAAACATAGTGCATTGATCTAGGGTTATTGGTTTTCCTTGCTAGTAAGTCATTTAAACATTAATTCATTCAGCATATATTCACTGAACACATACTATGTGCCAAGCATTGTTCTAGGTGTTGGAAGTACAGCAGTGAATGAAACAAACATTCCTACCCTCATAAGGCTTCCATTCTACTTGGAGGGGGGCACAATAAACATATCTAGTATGTTAGATGGTGTTAAGTGCTATAGCTAAAAACAAACACAGCAAGCTAAGAGGGATTGGAAGTGCTGAGGTGGGAAGATGGATTGCAATTTTAAATAGAATAGTTAAGGAAGGCCTCACTTGGAGGATGACCTTTGAGCGGGCTTAAAGGAGGTGAGGGAGTGGGCTATGCATATATCTCAGAGAAGAGAGCCCCCAAGCAGAGGAAACAGCCAGTGCAAAGACCCTGGGGCTGATCTATGTCCTGTTTTTCAAGAAACAAAAAGGAAACCAACCTTCCAGGAGTGGAATGAGTGAAAAGGAAGTTATAAGAGATGGGGCTGAGGAGGTGTTGGCAAGAGTTGACATGACCTGACTTAACCATTTAAAATGACACACTGTTATGTGTTGAAACTAGACTGTAGGAGGTAGTGGGTGGAAGCTTGGAGTGTTGTTAAGAGGCATGGGGCTGGGGATAAGCAGTGATTCGATTCTAGACATATTCTGAAGTTAAAGTCAACAGAATTAGAATCCTATTGAAATTGTCTGTAGAAGTGGTCAGAGTCTAAACCAAAATGGAATGGGGGACAATGGAGAAGAGACCATCCAGAGAGATAAAGATTAAAGTCTGAAGAGCCAAGGAAGTTAGGTAAATAAGTATTTTCCCAAATTCTCCCATCTGGCTTTCTTTGCAGAAGCATTGGTTGATTGGTCAGTTTAGTTTCTGACTTTTTTTTTTAGGGAAGAGAACCCTCTCCAAGTTATGGTCTGGGAATCCACATCAGGAGTTAGATTCATTAGAAAGGCAGTACAGGGTGGTGGTGATGACCATGGAGTTTGAAGTCAGACAAATCTGGGTTTGAGTCCCTATTCTGCTGTTTACCAAGTGTGTTAGGAAGTTATTTGAGCTCTCTGTGCCTCAGTTTCTTCATCTGTGAAATGGGGTAATAATACCTACTTCATAGGTTCCCATGAGGATAAAATGAGAGCATGTACTTAAAGCCCTTAGCATACTGCATGGCACACAATAAACACTTAATAAGTAAAACCAGTTTATATTGATCTACAAAATTTGAAACCCATTGGGGAGTCTAGTTCACTTTCTCTTTTGTCCTTAATACTGTTAGTCTGACCCTGTTAGTGCAGTTTATTTATTTATTGTTCAAAATTTAATGTCACTGCTATTTTTAGTGTCTGGAATGCAGCACTAGCCATTTGGTGCTTGACCAACCAAATGTGGTGAAAGACACTTCCTTTTAAGCACAGATTTTGACTAAATTGCCGAGAACTGATAGCTCTTTTTTTATTTTTTTTATTGCTGTAGTTTAAGTAAAAGTGTACATTTCAAGTTAGTCTCTTATACAAAAATTTATACATACATTGTTATGTGACCCTAATTGCTCTCCCTATACTTTGACAGCACACTCTTCCTTTCCACCCCTGGTTTTCCATGTCAGTTCAACCAGCAGCTAACCCTCTCTGCCTTCTCATCTCACCTCTGGACAGAAGCTGCCCATTTAGTTTCATGTATCTACTTGAGCTAAGAAGCACACTCTTCACGAGTATCATTTTATGTTCCACAGTCCAGTCCAATCTTTGTCTGAAGAGTTGGCCTCGGAAATTGTTTTAGGTTCTGGGCTGATAGAGAATCCGGGGGCCACGCTTTCCAGGGTTCCTCCAGCCTCAGTCAGACCATTAAGTCTGGTCTTCTTACTAGAATTTGAGTTCTGCACCCTACCTTTCTCCTCCATCAGGGACTCTGTTGTGTTCCCTGTCAGGGCGGTCATTGGTGGTAGCTGGGCACCATCTAGTTCTTCTGGACCCAGGCTGATGAAGTCTCTGGTTTATGTGGCCCTGAGAACTGATAGCTTTTGATGTAGTGTGATTAATGTCTGTCCTTCCGCATTCATACACAGACAGGCATGAATAAAAAACATTTCTTAAGCGAGGCACTGTGGGAAACAAGTCAGAAGTTTAAGAGGTGATTGCTGTCTTCTGGGAATTTTTAAGACAAGTTGAGGAGAAAAGACAATAAGAAGTAACAAGTTTACAATAATACATGGTGGATAATACACTAGCAGCAGACAAGTAGCGTAGGTAGTGAGTGCTGTAGGAGGCCAGAGGGAGGAGCTTACTTGTGCAAAAGTGACCTGAAGCTTCCCAGAGGCAGAAGGGCTTCAGTGGCGATGCCTATTCAGGTAGACGATCTTCCTTCCTCCTCACAGCAAGAGTGGTTTGTTGAAGTGTTTTCAATACATCATGTCTTTTCAGTATAGGTACTGAACATATTTATATCTGGACATATTTATTTCTCAGAACTTCAGCTTCACTTAGAAAACAGATTATTTTATCTGTGTCTGTCTCTGTATGAATGTGGAAGGATGGACACCAGTCACACTCCATGTCAAGAGCTATTAGTACTGGCCAAGTTCACCAAAATCACTACTCTTGGAAAGGAGAGAAGGATCTCGAAATGCTTCAGTAAATGAGGCTGTTAAACCTGACTTCAAAAACACGTCTGAAGTGAGAGAGAGAAAATATGGACCTTTATGTTTGTTACTACCTGAGAGAAAGGCACAGAGAGACCCTAATAGTACATGTTTGTGCATGTATGGAATTACACACAAGATGGATTGGTTAATTGGTGTGTATGTGGGTAGATTCAGTGATGTAGGATGAAGGACAGCTGGTATAGATGATTCCCAGTGGGCCTCCAGAACCTGGGCAGTGCCTCCAGCGTGGCTGGATTGTCATTCCAGGGATTTGTTTGCAGTTGTTAGGACAGGTGGCTAATAGCTATGCCAGGATTAGGGTAGAACAGGCCACACCTGCTTCATGTAGCTATCTGATGACAGAGGCCCGGGGCTGTGCAGTTTTTTCTTGGTTCTCTGTTCAACTCCGGGCTTCCAATCTGTTCGTTCTGGTTTGAACCCCTGCCGAGAGTTTGCATTTCTAACAAAATCCTGGGCAATGCTAATGCTGCTGGTTGGGGGCCAGTTCTGAGAACCGCTAGTAAATCAGTGGTTCTCAAAATTTATTATACATAAGATCTCCTGGGGATTTTTTAAAATGTAGATTCTGATTCAGTTATATCTCCGGTGGAAATGCAAATTCTCAGCAGGGCTTCAAACCAGGACAAACCAGTTCGAAGCCCTGCTTCAACCTCCTCTCCCTCCAGGCCCCATTCCAGGCTCACATCTGGTGACTAAATCCTCTTCATCTGTTTACTCTGGAAGACAAAAGCTGTATGGCCAACCTGTGCCAGAACAGGTCTGATTGGCCCTTGGGGTGAATTCATGGTAGGAATTGGCCCAGGAGTGAGGTCAGTAATTGGTAGTCATTAAATGCCTGGCCCCGCCCTTTAAACAGATATTGGTCCTGAAAAAGCTGTTGAACTAATCTTGTTAATCAGCTCTCCTCTGACTGTTAAACTGCTTGCAATTCCAAACCTTACAGTGTTTCTCAGGCTTTAGACTCTAAAGTTTAGACCGTATCAGAATCTCCAAGGGAACTGGTTCAAAGTGCAAAATTCCTGAAATTCTGATCCAAGCCTGGCTCAAGCCTGGGAATCTATATTTTAATAGTCCAGGCCAACTTTTTTCCAATTCTTTTTTTTTTTTTATTGCCAGTAAGAAACAGACTTTATGTTGCA